TTTGTAGAGATTAGGAGCCATAGGAACTTTACCCAACTTTTTTGGTGTATCTCACTACTGTATTCAACCTGGAGAACATCACAGCCACAAATTAATATATATGATCAACATTATATACATGTATTTAAAATTTTTAATTTACAAAAAAAAATAATACTTAATTATATGTCATATAAATACTAATTAGGGATCATCTTATTCAAGACTATCTAATAATAAATTTGCAAAACACACTATTTGCAAGAGAGAAAAAAAGGTTTTAGGTTAGATCCTTTTTATTTTAATTTTAATTTTTTTACTGATTAAAAAATATAGTTTGCAAAAAAAAAAAACACTTATACACTGCATCAATTACTTGTGGCCTAGGGACAATTTAGCTTGTTGAAAAATATAATAATTACTTAGACTTAAATATGTGATTGATTTTTTTTTTAGTCTTATAAAATAAATTATTTGATTTTCATCTTTAACAAATAAGAGTTTTTACACATTGGTTTGGATTGAGTTTGTTTAAATTTGTTATCCAAACCAATCAAAATCCTACAAGTTAGATTAAATTAGATTTTTGTAATTTTTTTTTTGTCTAACTCAACTTGAACCAACTTGATTATTAATGGGTTGAATTGTATTTGATCAGTTGGGTTTAACTATTTAAAATTATTTTCATTCTCTAAAAAATATTTCTTTTACTTTTTAAAAATAATATGACTGTTATTAGTATAAACTCTATTGTATCTATATAAAAAAAATTGCATCAATAAAATGAGCAATATAAATCATATAAAGTCAGGTATTTTTATATTTTCTTAAAAATAAGAATTAAAAGCATATTTAACAATGGTAACAAAAAATACATGATTCACTGTGAACCTTAAGTCAAGTCACATGTACATAAACGAACCTTGTAATTCTTCCTTGCTTGCAAATAGGGATTGCTTGTTTGGAGTAACTAGGAATGAGAGAACCTAACTTCGATCCTTATTGTACCTTTATAATTTTCTTCACTCATTATAAAGAAAAAAGAAATAAAAAGCAAGGATTGCTTGCCTTACAACTTACAGCAGTATTTAAGAATTTGCATCCATCTCAATGTGGAAAGGAGATTAAAACATGCCAAGGGTCAACTGAAGGCCAAATGGCTTTTCTATTGACAGTGTTAACACTAATTGTCTATATATATACAGTCCAATGTCCAATGGCTTTCTTCAATTGGTACTTCTTTAACCTCAACTTTACCCAGATGGTTTCTTTAACACTAATTGTCTATGTACAGTCCAATGTCCACCTTCAAAAAAAAAAATCTTTATTAGATCAGGTGTGAAAAAAAAAATTAAAAAATTAAACGTTGCACTTACTCATCTTTAGTCAAGTCCTTACATTGTCATCACCAAGACAATGTTATGAAATATGTGTATGTGTGAATTAGACGTGTTAATTAATAAGTCGTGTATAGCCTAATTTTGTTTTCAATTAGAAAATATAGAGTTTTGATTGTGGAAAAATACTTAACTGAAAAATAAAAATTTGTACTTTAATTATAGTATATTTTAACTATAGTTAATTATTATAAGTAACATATAAGGATTTTGATGATTGTAAAATTTAAAATATTTTTTAAATTTTTAATGAGTTGATTAGGTAGAAAATTATTTAATTAACATAAATTAATTCACATATGCATTTAATAAATTAATGAATAATAATTTTCGGACAATGCTAACAAGATTAAGAAAAAATAAAAAAAAATATTAAATGCTTATGTTTTAACATAACTAAAATATTTAAATATATATATATATTTACTGTTCTTTAAGATACTTCTTTAAAAAAAACCGTAATTTATTTTTAATTCAAGCAAGTGAAGCAAAACTAAGGCACTTAGATCTTTAGAATACTTTGTTTGAATTAGTAATAGAATAGTGAGATAAAAAAAAATGTAAATGGAAGATATAAGAATAGAAATAAAAGACAAGTGGAGTAAAAAAGATATTTTTTTTTTGGAAAAATCCAAATAAAAAGTAGATTTTCTTCTTCTTCTTTTATTTGAATAAATTAATAATATAACTAATATAAATATGAAAAGAATTAATTTAAAACTATTTATTATTTTCTAACATTATTATAATTTTTTTTAATTTTAATAACTTAAAAAGAGAGAAATTGTTTTTCTTTCATGCTAAGTTGGAGGAAGTATTTTCTTGTAGATTTACAAAACATATTCTCTCCTTTTTATTCTTAATCTCAAATAAACGAATAAAAAATATATTCTATTTTTACACTTTATTTTTTTGTCTTCTAAATAAACATATAGGTTTAAGTCAATAGAGAGTTTCTATCAAAATAAAAATAAAAATAGAGAGTAGATGATTGCAAGCTTCGTAGTTTGGAACAGAGAAAAGTAGAGCCTTGATTAGATGGTAGCTTGAAAAAAGAGTGTAGTAGGAATGACTTTATAGCTATCGTTGAATTATTTTTGTACAATAAAATTATATTAAAAAAATAAAGAATCATAAGGGAAAAAATGTGAGATAAAATAAATAATATTATAAAAATGTTATGAAGAAAACATTATAATACTATAAATATAAACAATAGTATAACTTTTACAAAAACCGTTTATAATAATAAAGTTAGACATAATTAACAATGTAAAATTGAGTCTATTCTTTTAAAATAAAATTTTAAATTTAAATATTGCAAAAAAAAAATTTACAAGAGATCTTATTATAACTGATCAACTAATGTAGATTATGAGAGATCCTATTATTATTTTTTTTACCGAAACTAATCATTAATAAAATTGATGATGGTAATCCAAAAGTTAGGCACAGGTATCTTTAGTTGTACCAAGAAGAAGAAATGGAGCTTGCACTAAAGTTCAATGAGTACAAGTGGCTAACTTGATAGGAAAAAGCACAATATAATTTCTCAATGTTTTCAATTTCAATTATTAGATGAACTATAGTCAAAAGGTAGACACATTAAAGTCAAAAACTTTCTAGAAGAAAAAGAAACACAGGTTGACTCGTTGACCACACTTAATTTGTAATTGTGAACCGTCCATGTCTCGTTTATATCGAAGGATTTTGTAATTATTATTTCCAATTATAATAAATGCATATACGACGTACTTTATAATAATTTAAAAATTTATTAGATGATTTTTTGTTACTTTTAAGAATAAATTAAAATCGAATTTATTTAAAGAGTTAATCACCTATATACTGTTAGAGTAAACTTTTTACACTGTCAACCAATCATATTTTTTAATAATGTCATGTCACTTACTTATTTAATGAAAAAAATAAAATAAAATAATTTAAAAATTTTGATTAGTTATTAGTATAAGTGTATGAATAATTAACTCTTATTTAAAACTTTGTTTGTAGAGAAAATAACATATTTTTTTCAATATTTTATATAAAATTTACATTTGAATGATTTTGCTTGGCATGTACTTAAAAAAAAATAAAGATTTACACAAAACACAAAGTGCGATTAGTCATCTATTATATAGATTATATTTTAACTTATAAAATTACTAATTTTGTCATTATTTATATTGTATGAGATTTTAGAATGCTTTAGTTCCTCAAACAGTGTATCATCCTAACTGCTCATTTTTATTAAACCTCATAATAATTCATAAATCATTGACGCGGACACCATGACACTGTGAACTGACATCTTGTTGGGTGAGTCTTTATCAAAATAAAAGCATTCACCCAAACACGGCACACATCAATTCACAAAAATCGCGCAACAAAAATAAGGCCTCACAAGTCACAACTTTTACCTCTTCATTTTTCTGATTACAGTAAAATCATCTTCTACAATATGGGTCAAACTAGTTTTCCACCCAAACCTGACCAATTAAAGTTTTTTGATTTTTTTATAAAAGGTAAAAAAGTCAAATAGAATTAAATAAAAATAACATATTTAAAAATCAAATTTGAAACTACCCGATTAAGTTGTTATATATATATATATA